TTTTTATTTTCGGTAGTGTCCTTTCGAGTAATACGTCTTCTATTATTGCGATGATGGCTGAAAAGGAAATATTCAGTGTCACGAAATTTGACGGCACAAACTTCGAATTGTGTAAGTATGGCGTGTCGCTAATGTTGGAATCGCAAGATTTGCTGGAGTACGTTGAAGGGACGGATTTGCAGCCCGATAAATTGACGAAGGTAAAGGAGTGGAAGGAATGGAGAAAACGACAGTCAAAAACGTCAGTGATTCTACTGAGTTCAGTGGAACCGGTGTTACATATTAATTTAGTAAATTGCGTGACACCAAAAGAAATTTGGCAGAAGCTCCATGAACTGTATGGCGATACTACGGAGGATGCGAAACAACGCTGTTGGCAACAGTTCTATGATTTCCGTATAACAGATGGTGAGTCAGTTGCGACTCAGATTGAAAAATTTGAAAAAATCTGCAGGAAATTAGACAATGCAGATGACAAACCGTCAGATACGGCCATTATGTCGAAGTTACTGAATAGTTTACCGGCAAGATTTTCTACATTCAGAATGGCTTGGGAATGTACCGCCAGAGAAGAGAGAAAGAAAGAAAATCTGATTGGAAGAATTATTCGTGAAGATAAGCGATTACAAGTAACAGAGGAAGAAACCTCATCGTTGGCATTACAAGTGCAAGCATTGCAGGCGAGACTTGATAATCAAGTAAAGCAAGGCACAAGTGGAGATCGTAAAGATAAACAGAAAACAGGAAAGAAGAAAATTGATGAACTCAAGAAAAAACACCCATGCAATTACTGCCATGAGAAAGGTCACTGGTATCGTGAATGTAAGAAAAGGCTAGCAGATGGAAAGAAAACGAAGTCCGAGCAAGCGTATGTGTGCGACATATCGGTATTTTTCTCGGAAACCACAGATGATGACGAATCGGTGTGGCTAGCTGATTCGGGTGCTAGTATGCACATGACATTCAAACGAGACTATTTTAGTGAACTTGGCCCTGTGAAAAACATACGGTGTGTGAAAATTGCAGGAAATAAGTTACTCCCAGTAACGGGTGTCGGTACTATAAACATTCAAGTGACCGTGAACAAGAAACTTGAAAATCGTCAGTTGACAAACGTGTTGTTGGTTCCGGATTTGAAGCGTAATCTGTTTTCAGTGGGAGCTATAACGGACAGAGGGTTCTCATTTCATAGTTATCATGATCGATGTGAGGTACGAGAATCAAGAGGAGAATTCGATGTAAAAACGGCGTTTTTGTATGGGGAACTAAAAGAGATCATTTACATGGAGCAGCCTCAGGGTTTTGTAGATAAAACGAATCCTGTTCTCTGGCAGAGTAAAGGGAGTGATTGTTTTTCTAGCTTTATATGTAGACGACGGGTTATTAATTTCCAGTTCCAAATATGCCATAACAGAAGTATTATCACATTTAAAAAAGTCTTTTCAAATAACAATCGAAGATACGAAGCAGTATATTGGAATGGAAATTGAACGCGATC